TTTTCTGTTCAAATGACTGCCTCATGGTCTATGTATAGGTTCCTCATGAGCACAATCAAGTTTTGTTGAATACCTGTTCTTTGAAATGTTATCCATAGTTGGTCATAATCTACATAGTCAAAAGCCTTTGCATAATCAATAAAGCACAAGTAAACATCTTTCTGGTTCTCTGCAAGATCCATCTGATGTCAGCAATGATATCCCTCATTCCACATCTTCTTAATCCAGCTTGAGTGTCTGGCCGTTCCCTGTCGATGTACTACTGTAGCTGTATTTGAATTATCTTCAGCAAAATTGTACTTGCATGTGATATTAATGATGATTTTTGTATTCCATTGGATCACCTCTCTTTGGAATGACCAGAAATATGAATCCAGTTGGTTGGGCAGGTAGCTGTCTTCCAGATTTGTTGGCTTAGATGAGTGAGTGCCTCCAGTGCTATATCAGTTTGTTAAATATTTCTGTTTGTATGCCGTCAATTCCTGGAGTCATGTTTTTTGACAAAGCTTTCTATTCAGCTTGGCATTCCTTCCTTCAGTGCCCTCAGTTCTTGGTCATATGCTACCTTTGAAATTGTTGACCATCAACTATTTCTTTTTGATACAGTGAGACTGTGTATTTCTCCTTCCATCTTCTTTTGATGCTTTCTGCATTCGTCAATATTTTGCCCATAGAATCCTTCAATATTTCAAGTCAAGACTTGAATTATTTCTTTAATTCGTTCAGCTTGAGAACTGCTGAGCGTGTTCTTCCCTTTTGGTTTTCTAACTCCAAGTCTTTGCACATTTCACTGTAACACTTGACTCTGTTTTCTCGAGCTGCCCTTTGAAATTTTCTGTTCAGCTCTTTTACTTCATTATTTCTTTCATTCACTTTAGCATCTCTACACAGGAGATGAAATTTCAGAGTCTCTTCTGAAAGACCATCCATTTTGGTCTTTTCTTTCTTTCCTTTCTTTTTAAAGCCTGTTTTGCTTTCTTCTTGTATGATATTCTTGATGTCATCCTACAACTCTTCTGATCTTTGGTCATTTGTGTCTAATGCATTAGATCTGTTCTTGAGATACTCTAAATTCACGTGGGATGTGTTCAAAGTCCTATTTTGGATCTCGTGGACTTGTTTTAATTTTCTTCAGATTCAGCCTGAACTTGCATGTAACCAATTGATGGTCTGTTCCACAATTTGTCCTTGACTTTGATTTGGCTGATGATATGGAGTTTTTCCATCATCTCGTTCCACAGATGTAATCAGTTTGATTCCTGTATGTTTCATCTGTATATAATCGTCTTTTATGTTGTTTAAAAAAGGAATTTGCAATGAAGAAGTAATTGGCCTTGCAAAATTCTATCATGTTATCCCCAGCATCATTTCTATCACCAACGGCATATTTCCCAACTACTGATCCTTCCTCTTTGTTTCCAACCTTTGCATTTCAATTATCAGTAATTATCAATACATCTTGATTGCATGTTTGATCAATTTCAGACTGAGAAAGTTGGTAGAATTCTTTAATTTCATCACTGGCTTTAGTGGTTGGTATGTAAATGTTAATAATAGTGGTATTAACCGGTCTTCCTTGTAGGTGCATAGATACTATCGTATCACAGACAGCATTGTACTTCAAGATAGATCTTGAAATGTTCTTTTTGATGATCAAGGCTATGCCATTCCTCTTGAATTTGTCGTTCCTGGAATAGTAAACCATATGATTGTCTGATTTATAATCATCAGTACTAGTCCATTTCAGCTCACTAAAACCTATGATATCAATATTTATGCATTTCATTTCATTTTTGACAGCTTCCTATTTTCTTGTATCGTATTTCATACATTCCATGTTCTGATTACTAATGGATATTTACAGCTGTGTCTCTTCATTTGAGTTGTGTCTCATCAGGAAGTAAAGGTCCAGAAAGCTTTACTCCTTTCACGTCATCATGGTCAGCTCTAGTTTGAGAAGGCAGCTCTTCTCCCATCGTACTTTGAGTACCTTTCAACCTGAAGGACACGTCTTCCGACACTGTATCTGGCAATGTTCTGGTGTTCATAATGGTATTCATAATGGTATCATCTTCTGGCACTATATCTGACGATGCTGCACTGCTGTTCATCAGGTGTTCAGTGGCTAAGCAATCAGTTGTAGTCGGCTTAGTCTGGAAGCTCAGCTGAAAGCTGTCTATCATGGACGACTATGCTGGTATTTAAAATACCAGGGGCATAGCTTCACAACAACATGCAAGTTACCACAGTACAACAATTACAAACTGACATATGAAATCACCCTTATAGATCAGAAATGCATCAAGGTAGACACCCCAGAGAGCTTGAGTGGGCTGAAGAGGACTGGATCCTGCTGAGGGAGGCTGGGGGGGGAAAGTGGGGGGGTGGAGCACACAACACAGTGTCCAGAGCGTCACGGTGCTTCTCTGTCCCACAGCTCCTGGGTGCCTGGATATAAGAGGGGCTTCCATCACTGAGACTGAAGACGTCTCTCCAGGCAGCAGACACCCATCTGGAGATGAAACCACTTCCCAATGACTCAGGGGCCGTCACGTTGCCTGGTCCTCCTGCCCGGGGAGAGCAGGACTGGGAGAAGATTCTGGCTTCAAAGAACAGGGACCATATGGAGACCATGAAGAAAGTGACCCAGACACAGAAGGCAGAAGGTGAGAGTTGTTGAAGGTGTGGAGAGGTGAAGCGGGGACCGAGGCTGCAGGTCCAGGTGAGAATGCTGTAGTGGCCACAGCTGAGTGAACAGGTTCCTTCCCTCCTCCCCGTGATCAAGAGAGCTACTCTGGGGACAGTATGAGAGGTCTGCTTTCTTACAAGTTGTCTTTTCTTCCCTTAGGTTTGTCTTCTAAGGATACTGGCTGGTCCCAGGAAAAAAAGAGGAAGCCTCAAATTCCGGTGAGTTGGAATTACCTAAAATACTGGCTCAGTTCCCAGAACACCAGCATCTATCCCGTGTATGGGAACAGGAGATGATGATCAACATTCAGAAATTTCATGCCTTCATACCAGGTACCATGTCAGGCATTTTTGCATTTTATTTTTCTTGTTGTGAATTTTACCCAGAGTAAATATTAAGAAACCAGACAACTAAGAGGTTTATTTTTGAAAAACTGAGATTAATGGCATTTTAAAAGTGTTATTCAATTTCATACCCCTCCACCATACATAATATCTTATGATACCATCTGATTAAGGAGCTCTTGTAGCATAGTGGTTACAAATCAGGCTGCTAACCGCAAGGTCAGCAGTTCAAAACTACCAGCTGTTCCGCGGGAGAAAGATGAGGCTTTCTGCTCCCGTAAGGATTTGCAGCCTCGGAAACTCTGTGCAGAGTTCCTATGAATCGGAACCGACTCCACGGTACTTAATAACAGCAGTAACCGTCTGATTACTGGGCATCATTGTACTTTTAAGTTACTGACATTTTATAACTTACAGAAATAGCAACAATAGATAATAATAGATTCTGAGATACCACCATGTCGTTCCAACAGTCCTCCATAGTGGCCACTCTCATTTCTGGATGTATGAGATCAAATATCAAATATCTTCTTTGTCACTCTGCTCAGTTCTGACACTAGCTGCCCACGCAGAACTTCTTTCCCTAATGCTAGCCACTTGGAACTAAGTCAGATCTAAAGTGAAGGATACTGTTCTGCCGACCACCAAATGGGTAGATTCTAGCTGCAAGTTGAAGATCCAAAAGGCTTCCTCACTTCTCTACTGGCTATCTCTTCAGAATGTCAGACTCAAACTTGGGAGCTCTCTCTGGATCCCTTATTTCCGACCTGCTGGCTCCCACGACACCTTTCTGTTTGAGAATTTTCTGAAACCAATCATAGAACATACAAAAAGGTCTCTCTTTATCATTATAAGGTTATTATAGCAAAACAAGGTATAAACAGAGATGCATGGGGCCAGGTCTGGAGGGTACCTACCTCAGGTCTTCCGTGTTCCAAAAAGCAAGGCGCTGCCTTCCCACATGCATGGCTGTCTGAGAGCCTTTGTTGATTCATTGCATAGTCCTGGTTGGTTGCATTCTCTTCCCTCCCCTGAGGTCAACTGGACTTTAAAAGAAGTGATGTGATTTGTTAGTGATCTTGAGGTGCACCTGTGCTTACATACTGATCTCTGAGCTGAAGTGTTAACCAAAAATCTGCACTTGATGTAGTTGCAGTAATGGACAATAGCAACTGAAATTGGAGCCATTTTATTGAGGGACTAAGGCTGTTTAGGAGCCCTGGTGTGGTGCTGTGGGCTAATGCGTCAGACTGCAAAGTTGTTTGAACTTCAAGGTTAGTGGTTCAAACTTACCAGCCGTTCCTTGGAAACCCTATAAAGGGTCCCTATGGGTTGGAATCGACTCGAAGGCACTTAACAAGAACAACAAGAAGGCTATTTAAGGAGTCCTGGTGGCAGTGAATGTGATTTTAGGCTTTTAAAGTGTTTTTGGAGGAGCTCTGGTATAGAGCGTTAAGCATTTGACTGTTAACCAGAAGGTTGGCAGTCTGAACCCATGAGCTGCTTTGGAGGAGAAAGATGTGTGAATCTGCTTCCATGAAGTTTGCAGCCTGCAAACTCTATAGGAGTCGTTCTTGTTCTATATGGTTGGTATGAGTCCAGATTGAGTCAGCAGCAGCAAATTGTTGTTTTCAAAGTTTATGTTCTCTGGAACTGGGCTTTCTGTGGAACGGGCCATCCATTCTCACACCAGCTGGTCTCCACGAGGAGTGAAGTGTTAAGGACTTCATTAGTACGCTGATGAAATGCCGTAAACAAAGTTAGTGACTTACAGATCCCATCTACTGACCTGAACTCTTCAGTTTGCTCACTCCAGACACTTTTGTCTGTAATTGAAATTCCCTCCCACTTTCCCCTGCACGGCCCTTCCCTTAATGCCTAGCACCAGCCCCACCTCCCTGATGCCTACTCTGCTTTTCTAGCCCATCATGTAAGGCCCTCTGCCATCACTTAACTCCCCCATTGTGAATTCCCAAATGCACTCACTTGAATACTGACTGCTTAATGTGCTCAAATGGATCCACAGATCATTTCCCCGATGAAATCCTAAGTCTGTGTGGTCCAGGGTGTGTTTGGTGCATCCTTTGTGCCCCCACAGGTTTGTCACAGAGCCAGGTATGCAGTCATGCCCAGAAGAGCTGGCTGTGGAGACCTGTGTTCTCTGAGATGAACTTCTTCAGACGCAGACCCTTGAGGGCCCCAGTTAACTCCTCTCATTGGGACAGCGATGGTGACTGGGTGTGTCTTGATGTCTTGCTTGTCTAGGCACCAGTGACATTCGAGGACGTCACTGTGGTCTTCACGGAGGCAGAATGGGTGACACTGAGCTTGGAGCAGAAGAACTTGTACAAGGAGGTGATGCTAGAGATGTACAGGAACCTGCTCTCATTGGGTGAGGATGTGTTCTTTTCTCTTCCTTCATTAACTCAGTGGATCTTCATTGGCCACCTACTCTATTTCAAAGGGGCCCCAGTGATGTGGTGGTTAAGAACTCGGCTGTTCACCAAAATGGCAATATAAACCCACCAGCCTTTCCATGGGAGAAAGACATGGCAGTCAGCTGCCATAAGCATTGAAAACGCTATGGGGCAGTTAATCTGTCCTACAGGATTTGCATGAGTTAGAACCCACTTGATGGTCAACATGTATTTTTGGTTTTCTTTGTGCTGTATGGTGTGTGCTCAGCTGTTAACCTCAAGGTTGATGGTTTGAACTCAGCCACGGGCACCACAGAAGAAAGATCTATGGATCTGTTTCTACAAAGGTTGCAGCAGATAAAACCCTATACACCAAATGATATCAAACAAATAAAACAAAATCTCAGCCCTGTGGAGCAGTTCTACTATCTAACACATGGGGTGGCCATGAGTTGGTATCGACTTGATGACAGTAACTTTGTTGTTGTTTTGATGTGATTTGTCTCCTCCATCCCTCCCTCCTGACTATGACAGATGATGATCTTTACATTCAGAACTCATTAGTAAATATTAATTATCATATCTCAGGGAAATAAGAGCCCCGAAGGAGGGATTGCGGAGTGGCTGAGTGGTGGAACAGTCAGAACACATGCAATATTTATTAAATTTACCATCTCACACTGATGCGGTTAGTTGTACCCCAAAATAATGAACGGTCGCAGATCACTATACTGTCTATTGCAAGGATTATCAAACTGTGACACAGAGCAAGTGAGCCAATGTCACCAGTAGACTTACCCAGTGTAGGGTGGCCCCAAACCTTCATCTGCAAAGCACTATAAAGTGAAGTGCAATCTTAAGAAAATAAAAACGTGTCCGTAGTGGGGCCATACCATATCTGTCCTTCTTTGATTGGTTTCACTCAGCATAAAGCCCTCTGTGCATATTGGAGAGGTTTTTGTGTGGATCATCTGGATTGTAATAATGGGATTCAAAACCCACTCCAGTTTAGTGAATTCTGACTTGTAGCGAGTTACGGGACAGAGTAGAACTGTCCCGTAGGATTTCCAAGGCTTTCCACCTTTATGAGAGTGGACTATTGATCTTCTCTGGAGTGGCTGGTGGTCGTCAGCGGCATTCGTAAAGGAGGTGTGATTGTGCACCAGCGCTGCTCCTACAATATAAATGAATTCTTGGTGGGTCGCAAGATGTATCGATTGTCAGTTACCAATGACGCAATGAGATTGCTGTTAGTTACCATGAGTCTATTTCAACTCATGTTAACCCCACATGTGCAGAGGCGAAGTGCTTCATAGAATTTTCAGGGTGTGACCTTCCAGAAGCAGGCTGCCAGGCCTGTCCCCCAAAGCCTTATGCTTTCCGTTAGTAGTAGAGTGCTTAATGATCTGTGCCTGCAGTGAGTTGGTGTCTGTCAGAGAGAAGGCAGCCCAGCCCAGGCAGCCCCACTCCTGGCTACTGTAACAGAAAACCTTTTCTCTTCAGCAGAACCAACACCAGAAACCTGCCCCGGTCCCTCCTGCCTTCTGCCTTTATCCTGTCAGCAATTCCTCAGCCAACACGTGCTGCAGATCTTCTCAGGTGTGTGTGCAGAACATCCCTTCCATCCAGGGTGGTCCAGCCCAGAGCAGCGGGATTCCCATCAGAGCTGCCCCGGGAAGAACACAGATGTCTCCAGACCCTTGTGTGGGAGGACCGGGGAGAGACAGACTCCAAGGGCGTCTTCCAGCCCAGCCCGAAGACAATCAGCAAGCCCTAAAGACGGCCACCCAGGGGCAGGAATAGAGCACAGCTCAGCCCAGAGGGTGAACTCTGTGGAAGCAGACCGAGGGCTGAAGGAATCAGGAAGCTCAAGATTTGTAGCAGTTAGTTCTGGAGAGGATGGACCAGACTGTGGCCTGAAGTCAAACTTTATCACAAACCAGAGGCCCCTCCTCCGGGAGAAGTCCCATGTTTGCATGGAGTGTGGGCAAGGCTTTAACTGGAAATCAGTTCTCCTTAGACACCAGAGGACCCACTCGGGCAGGAAGCCACATATATTCAAGAAGTGTGAGACGGGCTTTAACTGCAAGTCACATCTCCTTACACACCAGAGGACACACTCAGATGAGAAATGGTACACATGCCGGGAGTGTGGACGAGGCTTTACCAAGAAGTCAGGCCTCCTTCTCCACCAGAGGACACACTCAGGGGTGATGCCACATGTGTGCATGGAATGTGCTCGAGGCTTTGCCCGGAAATTAAGTCTCCTTTTGCACCAGAAAACACACTCAAAGAGGAAGCCTTATATATGCCGCGAGTGTGGGCGATGCTTTAACCGGAAATCTCTTCTCCTTGCACACCAGAGGACACACTCAGGGGAGAGGCCTCATGTGCACCTGGAGGATGGGCAGGGATTTAGCCGGAAGTCAGGCCACGTCAGACATCAGAGGACACACTCAGATAAGAGGCCTTATGTGTGCAGTGAGTGTGGTCGAGACTTTAACCACAAGTCAAATCTCATTCGACACCGGAGGACACGCTCATGTGAGAAACCTTACACGTGCCTGGAATGTGGCAAAGGCTTTAAGCGGGAGTCCCGTTTTCTTATCCACAAGCAGACACACTCAGGGGAGAAATCTTATGTTTGCTGTGAGTGTGGACGAAGTTTTACCCGGAAATCATCCCTCCTTATGCACCAGAGGACGCACTCGGGGGAGAAGCCTCATGTGTGCAAGGAGTGTGGGCGAGGTTTTAGCCACAAGTCAAATCTTGTGACACACCAGAGGACACACTCAGGCGAGAAACCTTACATGTGCAAGGAGTGTGGGCGAGGCTTTAGCCAAAAGGCAGGCCTCCTTCTCCACCAGGGGACACACTCAAAGGAGAAGCCACATGTATGTAAGGAGTGTGGGCGAGGCTTCAGCCACAAGTCAACCCTCATCACTCACCAGAGGACACACTCAGGGGAGAAGCCATATGTGTGCAAGGAGTGTGGGCGGGGCTTTAGCCACAAGTCCAATCTCATCATACACCAGAGGACACATTCGGGGGAGAAACCTTACCTGTGCCGGGAGTGTGGGCGAGGTTTTAACCGCAAATCCAATGTTGTCACGCATCAGAGGACACACTCAGGGGAGAAGCCTTATGCCTGCCTTCAGTGTGGGCGTGGCTTCAGCCAGAAGTCAAGCTTGCTTTTCCACCAGAGGACACACTCAGGGGAGAAGCCGCACGTGTGCAAGGAGTGTGGGCGAGGCTTCGGCCAGAAGTCAGACCTGCTACACCACCAGGTGACCCACTCGGGGGAGAAGCCCCATGTGTGCCAGGAGTGTGGGCGAGCCTTTAGCTATAAGCAAAGCCTCACGAGACACCAGCAAACTCACTCCTAAGAAGCCCTGTGTTTGCAGTAATGCGGCGGAGTCTTGGCTATAAGTCAGCCTCACACTCCCGAGGATACAGAATAGAAGCGCTGTGTGCAGGGGAAATGGGAGGAATTGGGGGAAAGGCACACTTCACTATGTAAGTCAAAACACGTCTTTTGATGGGGGCAGCATCTGTAGCATGGGGAGTGAGATGCTTTAGCAGTACATTTGACCTCCACTTGCCTTTTGACCTCCACTTGCCGCAGAAGATGTTCAGGGAGACAAGGCACGCAGGCAGGGTCCTGGGCCCTCCCCAACTCACCAAGTGAACAAAGTGTTGCCACCACGAATCACTACTTCCCCTGCCTCTGAGGGAGGTTCGGGGAATTTCTCCTGCCACCTCTGCTCTGTCTGTAGGAAACAGGCAAATGTCTCCAGATTCTGTAACCAAAAAGAGTAGAAAATTAAAACCCTCATCTAAGGTTGGTTGACTTATTTTATTTTCATTCACCAGTTCTTTGTTGTCCTTTCATTGTAGTAAAGTTTTTCTTTACTAAACCATAACTCAAACTGAGTTTCTCATTTGTCCTGAAGGGTACATGGAATTCTAATCCACAATTTTAAAGTTTCTTGAGTGAATTCAACCCTAAAGAAAACGTAAGTCCTAAATATGTTTATAAGGCACTCTGGTAGTGTAGTGGTTATGAATCGGGCTGCTAGCCTCAGGGTCAACAGTTCGAAACTACCAGCTGTTCTGTGGGAGAAAGATGAGGCTTTCTGCTCCCGTAAAAATTTACAGCCTTGGAAACACTGTACGGGGTCGCTATGAGTTGGAACCAACTCCACAGCACATAACAACAACAAATATGTTTATCTGTGAATCTGGTCCTTTGTGTGAGGAGAGATGTGGTCTAGGTTTTGGAGACAGAAGGCAGGTGAGGGGAGGGAATGTCCCACACATCCAGGGCTGGATTACCTCTTCTTACTCATCCCTTCTTTCTGTGACTGCCACCTTCTGTTGGCTTTTATGACAGCTCCTTGCATGAGGAATTTAGGACAGTACCATCACTGGCTGGGCACAACATGGAGAGATTTGGTCTCACGGGCACTCTCGCTCACCGGCACCTCGAGATGAGCAGCCCTGATCATTCCAGCTACAAAATCCCCTTTGCTCTGGCGGCCCCAGCCTGTCAGGATTCGTGCCAGCTCCACGGTGCACTCTGCTCTCGTCAGGATGGCCCAGAAAGGAGAGGGATGTATTTATTTAGGATTTATAGAGTGCTAATTATGGCACTGTGGGTTAATGCGCTGTACTATGAAATCAGTTTGAACTGAAAGGTTGGTGGTTCAAGCTCTCCAGTCGCTCCTTGGAAATCCTATACAGGGTCGCTAGGGGTCGGAACCGACTCGACAGCACTTAACAAGTTTCCAGAAACAGGTTTTGAAGAGACTTAGCCAGAAACTTGAATAGGTAAAACAGGAAGAATTACAAATAAAACTGGAGTCCTTTTATAAAGGCCCAGAGGAATCAGTGGTAGACAGCTGGGAGGTGACACCACAGTTGTCAGTGGACCACACTGAGAGACGCGGCCATCTGCTCTTGTACAGATCTACAACCTTGGAAACCCCGTGGGGCAGACCTACTCTGTGGGTCAGACTCGGTTCAATGGCAGTGGGTTTGGTTTTGCTGCTGAAGCAAGCTGTCGGAATGATCATTGGAAGCAATCGCTTGAAACGTTTGAAACTGAAAACATTCACACACTTTGTTGTTTGACTCGGCATAGAATTCTAGATCGAAAATGTTTCCTTCAGATGTTTGAAATCTTGGCTCCGTGCTCTTGATAGTTGGATGCCCCCAGTATTGCTGTAAGACGTTCAGGGCTATTTTGATTCCTCTTTATTGTATATGAATTTTTTTTCTCTCCAAAAACTTGCATTGTTTCCTCCTTAGCTTCAGTTTTCTGAAAATCTTTATTGCTATAATTCCTCCTACCATTCTGTTTTCTCTTTTTCTACCTCATACTAGTTGGAGTATATATTTTAATTGTAAGCTAGTCATTGAAACCTGTTTGAACAGGAAGTAGGTGGAGCTGCCTTGGTTTCTGGGTCCTGCAAGTTTTGACACTTTTTAGTGCTTATTTCAGTGGGAAATATTTGAGTTTTTCTTCAAAATAACCAGTTGGAAGTTGGATCCTGAAGGGAGGAAACAGGCTATATGAGGTCCAACATGGTTACCATTTGGTTTTTGCTAGTACATTTTGTTTTCTAAATCATTCTTATATAACTTCTGTTGGAGTGTCTTTGGCAGTCTGAAGTCCTTTTCTTCACCATAACTATAAAACTGACGGTACAGAGAATTGAATCAGTTCTGTTGCCACCCAGGACCTGCCTAGTATGTAAGTCTCCCCAGTAAACTCCTTTGGCATCATCTTGGGGTTGCCTGCTGCTTTTTTTAGTCTCGTGGTGCCCCTCGTATTTGGAGTTACTGGTCCATGCACTGACAGAGCTTTAGATAGATCCTCTTATTATTATTATTTTAAATTGTGATTTAAGTGAAACTTAACAGCAATTTGGTTTTCCATCCAACAATTCACACACATGTTGTTTCTGACATTGATGTCAGTTCCCATAGTGTAACAGCTTTCTTCTCACTTCCTCACTGTGTTTCCTGTTTCCATTTGTCCCTTCCTGCCTTCTCAACTTGCTCCCTGAACAAATGCTGCCCTTCTGATCGCATGTGCTTGTTGTAAGAAGTACAGATCTCCCTGGTGTTACCATTCAACTTATGGGTCTGTCGATTGTCTGGCTGGAAGAGGAGCCTTGGAGACGAGTTCCGTTTCTGGCCTGAATTGTGACTAAAGGCCAGAGTGTCACGGGTTCTACCAGTGTCTGTGAGACCAGTAAGCATGGTCTTCTTTTTTAATTTTGAGTTTTGTTCTGCGTTTTCATTAGTTCTATCCAGGACTCCTGTTGAGATCCCTTTCAGAGCAGCTAGCGTTGGTAGCCAGATACCATCTAAGTCTTCTGGTTTCTGGGCCATGTAGACTGAGGCTCATGTGATCCAATTGTTTTTTTTGAATGGATTGTTTCTATGTCTTGATTTTCTTCACTCTTCTTTGCTCTGGAGAGACCAGTAGTTGCACCTTAGTGTGGCTCTGTGGGTTAATGCACTGGACCCCAAGTTGGTTTGAGTTGCAAGGTCAGTGGTTCAAGCTCACCAGCCACTCTTCAGAAACCCTATACAGGGTCGCTATGGGTCAGAACTGACTCAACAGCACTTCACAACAACAACAACAACAACTCCCCAAAGTAGAGGGTAGAACATTGTGGACTGTGTTGTGCCAACTGACTCAATAGCCCTGATCACGGGGCCAGCATCTTATTTCCTCCAGTTGTTGGAATACAGCTGAGATGACTCCACAGCCACCCCCTCTACACAACTCTATGTTGTTGCTAAATATTGTCGAGTTGGTTCCAACTCATACTGACTTTGTATAGGGTTTCCGAGACTGTAAATCTTTGTGGAAGCAGAAAGTCTCATCTTTCTCCCACAGAATGGCTTGTGGGCTTGAACTGACAATTTTGTGGTTCACAGTCTAGTATTTATTTTACAGAGACATTGTGCTCCTGTATTTTCTCTTACGTTCATGGATACATGTACAGCGCATATAGGTATATACGTAGACATATCCTCTGTCAAACCTGTATATATTAATGGGTGGTCCCATTTCTCTTTCCACCCTGTTCAGGTTTTTGTGTTCAGGGTCTATGTATGTTGTTGTTGTGAAGTGCCGTCGAGTCGGTTCCGACCCATAGCGACCCTGTACAGGGTTTCCGAGGCTGTAAATCCTTACGGGAGTAGAAAGCCTCATCTTTCTCCCGCGGAGCGGCTGGTAGTTTCGAACCGCTGACCTTTAGGTTCGCAGCCCGATTCGTAACCACTACGCTACCAGAGCTCCTTGGGTCTATGTATAATACTTGTTATTACTGATGATGCAGGGTTGGGGAGAGTTTGCAGGGTCATAGTGTTTACTTTGTTGTCTGTAACTCTGTGCACGTCTTTGTGTCTTCCTTTTCTTTAGTGATACTGTGTTGACCGCCCCTTGTTGTATATTACCTCTCCCTTCACCCAAATTAGTGCGTGTCCTGGTTGGCACTATAGGATAAGCACTGGACTGCTAACCATAAGGATGGCAGTTTAAACTAACTCATTGCTCCTTGGAAACACTATATACGGTTGCTATGAATTAGAATCAACTTGATGGCACTTAACAATTATCTAGTTAGTGATTTTTTCTTCCTTTGCCATCCTGGTAACAATCAAAGATTTTTTTTTCTTAGTGTAAACCTTTCTTTGATTTTATATAATATTGGAGCCATACCATGTTTGTCCTTTTGTGATTGACTTATTTCATTCAGCATACGCCCTCCTGGTTAATCCACATTATGAAGTATTTCATGAGAGTCAGTTATTCTTTGTATAGCATGCCATTGTGTGTCTGTACCGTAGTTTTCGTCATTCATCCATTGCTACTGTGAATAATGCTGCGGTGAGTCTGGGTGTGCAGATGTCTGTTCATGGCCCAGCTCTGATTCCTTTAGGCTATATACCTAGAGGTGGGATTGCAGGATCTTTCTATTTCCAACTTTTTAAGGAAATGCCAAACAGTTTCTACAGTGGTTGTGCCATTTTACAGTCCCACCTTCTCTAAGTTTCTTTTCTCTTTAGTTTTCCATCTTCATCTTTTCATCTCCCTCCCCCTTTATCTTCCAGTTTTTCTTTTGACATTTTTATTAGTGTTTACAGTGATTATTGGGTGCCATTGAATAGGTTCCAACACACAGTGGCCCTCTGTACAACTGAAAGAAAGACTGCCCAGGCCTCCGCCACCCTCACGATCGTCCTGTGTTTAAGCTCACGGTTGCAGCCACAGTGTCAATTCATGGCATTCACACGGATGATGGAAAAGGTGTAATTCCTTCTTGTTCCCCACACTCTGCTGGAGACCAGAGGTGTGGCTGGTGTA